AGGAGGAGCAAGTCGAGAAGACCAATGAGGAGGAGCGTTCTGGTTGGGAGGCAAGGGAGAAAGAGCTAAAGGCTCAATTGGAGGCAGCAGAATCCAAACTAGAAGTGGCCGAGACTCTGCTCATTCAGAGGACCGATGAATTGGAGATTAGTAGGAGCGAGACCGAGGCGAGTAAAATTGAACTAATGAAACTAGATCGGTGTTATGACGAGCTGAAGGAGAAATATGATGTCGAGAAGTTTACGGGGAAGAGGTTTTTGGCTTCCTCAGCTGGAGCTGCTTACAAGGAATCAATTATGTTAGAAGGGGAAAATCGCTTTCAGAAGAGTGATATCTGTCGAGCTATGATCGAAGATCGAGCAATAGCTGGGGTTTATGCTCCTTTGGTTAGGACGTGTCGTCAGTACTTACGCAAGGTTGGAGGAATTGACGAGAAGATTATTCGAGGTATGGAGGAGGACATTCCTGATGATGGGGAGGATATTGATGTCGAGTGTACTGAAATTGCCTCGGATGCGGAAGCAGATGATCGAACTACCGAAGCTACTTCTGCTCGTAAAGTGTAGTTTGGTGTGATGTTGTTTTTATTTTCCTTAGAAAAAGACTTGGTTTTTTTATTTTTATTTTTAATTAAGTGGGTATGTCCACTAGTATTTTTGCATGCTTCATGACTTGGTATTTGTTTGCACCTTGAGACGTTGATTTTGCTATCAAAGTTATTGTTTCTTTTTATTCATTGATTTCGCACTAATGTTTTGCATATAGCATTGTTCGAGATATTCTTGATGAGGGGATCAGTCTCTCAAGATTTTTTTATAATTTTTTGGGATCATGCCCTTTATTTTGGACCTCGTAGGTCGGAGTATTATTTAGTCCATGGCCACGTTTTAAGCATGAGGACCCTGAAAATCAAAATAGAGAGACGCAGATAATCCAGCTGGCCAGGCTATATGGACTATCTTAATTTCTCTAAGTGTTTTTAGGGTTGAAGTGAGATGAACCCGTCGTAACGGTTAAGTAGTATATGAACAATAACTTTGAGAGTAAAGTAAAAACTTGATTTAATCATTAATAAGAAATGCGAATTGTCATAAGCTTCCGTGAGGCGAAGGGAAATAACTTGTAAAAAACAAATAAATCGAACTATTGAAAAGTAATCTATGTGACTATAAGAGATTTTATTCTTCTTCCACGTCTTCCTTGTGCTCATCCGTGCTTGGTGTAGGGTAGTATGTCTACTGTCTTTTGGTGTCTCTTTGCCTGAAAAGTATCGGGGTAAAAAAAATTCAAGTACTTGTATTGAAGACTTAATAGTTTCATAAGTTGGAGTGATGCGTATTTGGGATCACGTACTCAATATTGGGACTTTTTATGTTCCTTGCATTCCGAGATATGAGAACAACTCATGAGTTGCGGTGGATTGCTGCGCGACCCTGCCTGTCAAAGGAGATGGCGTTATTGTTTAGTATAGAGACCCACTAATGTGCTTGTGATATGACTTAGTAAAAGTGGTGTTACCCTTAGTGAGATAGTACAGAGTATCTTCTCTCTTTGGGTGAATGGTGGTCGGTAAGCATCCTCTCGTAATTGGCTCTTAATCTGTAAGAAGATGATGAGACGTGTTATGGAAGGTTGATGTAGATAATATCACTAGCCCCCCAGTTTGGGAGGGATGTTTACACACCTCGTTATGGAGTCTCTTCTCGAGCCTTTAGAGACATTTTTGCATGAAGAGAGACGTGGAAGGTTGTGAAGCCTGCAAGGCGACTTTCGTATGAGGAAGATGTAGACGTAAACTTAAACAAATTTGATTTAAGATGGATGTATACCTCAAGCGTAGAACCTTTTGAGATTCCCTATATTCCAGGTTCTGGGTATAGGGTGTCCGTCGAGGTTCTCGAGACGATATGCTCCATTGTTAATCACTTGTGTGATTTTATATGGTCCTTCCCACTTCGGGTCGAGTTTACCGATTGGGCGTGAGGCTTCGGCTTTGCGGAGAACTAAATCTCCTACTTGGAAAGAGCGAGGGCGGACTTTGGAGTTATAAACTTTCGCCATGCGACTCTTGTACATTTGCTGTCTGATGGATGCAATCTCTCTTAGCTCGTCGACGAGATCGAGGTTAGCCCTCATTGCTTCTTCATTCTCCTCTGGTGAATAATTGATGACTCTCCAAGAGGGTTCGCCAATCTCTACGGGTGCTACAGCCTCTGTTCCAAAAGCTAGGTTAAATGGAGATTCTCCTGTTGCTGTTCGTGGGGTTGTTCGATATGCCCACAGAGCATTGGGTAATTCTTCAACCCACTTTCCCTTGGCACTTCCAAGCCTTGTCTTGAGATGTTGAAGTATCGTGCGATTGGTTACTTCAGTTTGACCATTTGCTTGGGGGTTTGCCACCGAAGTGAAGAATTGCTTAATAGATAAGCCAAGGCACCAACTCTTGACTTTGTCTCCACAAAATTGTGTTCCATTGTCCGAAATAATGGAACGGGGAATGCCGAAGCGGCACACAATGTTTTTCCAAAGGAATTGGATGACGTCTTCTTCTCGAATGCGAGCTAAAGGTTCTGCTTCTACCCACTTGGTGAAGTAATCTACAGCTACAATGAGGAACTTGCGTCCTCCTGTTGCTGGTGGAAAAGGACCGACCAAGTCAACTCCCCATTGAGCGAAAGGTATGGGACTGTCAATCGGTTGCATCAATGCTGCGGGGAGATGAAGGATGTTAGCGTGTTCTTGGCAAGGCTTGCATCTCTGCACTAGTTTTTTCGCATCTTCATGCATGGTGGGCCAATAGTAACCTTGTCTCAATATTTTGAGAGCTAAGTTTCTTCCACTTAAATGATTACCACAAATGCCTTCATGTACTTCCCGAAGCACATAGTCTGCTGCTGATGGGTTAAGGCATTTAAGATAGGGGGAGGAGAACCCTCGCTTGTAGAGATCTTCACCTATCATTAGGAAACGGGCCGCCCTTACCTTTATTTTCTTCGCTTGGGCGATGTCAGTCGGAAGTTCCCCGCTTTTGAGATAGTTTGTAATGGGGGTGATCCAACAGGGTTCGCTCTCTTCAGCGCAATTCACTCCGTCGGTGGAGACTATTTCTGGTTGGGAAGCCGTGAGAAGGGTGATTTTCCGGCTTCCAATGCTTGCCATGGAACTACCAAGTCTAGCCAACTTGTCTGCATCAATATTGTTGGCTCGTGGTACTTGCTTTATCTCCTAGCTATCCAATTTTGAGAGGAGGGTAAGTGCAAGAGCAAGGTACTTTGCCATGGATTCTTCTTTGGCTTCATAGTTCCCAAGGACTTGGTTGACCACCAACTGGGAGTCGCTGTGTACTATGAGTTTGCGAGCTCCAGCTGCTAAAGCGAGGCGGATACCAGCGATCAAAGCTTCATATTCGGCTTCGTTATTGGAGGCTTTGAAATCAAACCGTTTAGCATACTCGAATTCATCGCCATCTGGGCTTGTTAGTACAATACCCGCGCCTCCTCCTGTAGTGGTAGATGATCCATCAACATTGATGGCCCAAGTGGGTATGGATGTGCTCTCTTCCGATGTAGTCATCTCTACTACAAAGTCTGCTAGGATTTGAGCTTTGATGGCTGGGCGTGGTTTGAACTCAACCCCATATTCACTTAGCTCTATAGCCCATTTAGCTAATCGTCCGGAAGTCTCGGGACTTCTCAATATTTGTTTAAGGGGATAGTTGGTGAGAACTATCACCTGGTGCGACTGGAAGTACGGACGTAACTTTCTGGCTGCATTGATGAGCGCGAGAGCAAGTTTCTCCATATTGGTGTAACGGTGCTCTGGGCCTTGGAGAGCTCGGCTTATGTAATATATCGGTTGGTGACCTTTTTCACCATCCCGAATGAGCACTGCGCTAATGGCATCAGCAGAAATGGCCAAGTATAGGAAAAGAGTATCTCCCGGCTGGGGCTTCGTTAGTAGAGGTGGGGAAGTGAGATATGCTTTCAATTCTGTGAAAGCTCTTTGACAGTCTTCATTCCACTCAAACTTTTTCCCACCTCTTAGTATCTTGAAGAAAGGAAGACCCTTATCAGCCGATCGGGATATAAATCGGTTTAAGGCTGCCAAACAACCATTAAGTTGTTGGACCTTCTTAATCGATGTGGGAGGGGCCATGGAGGTGATAGCTTCAATCTTTGCTGGGTTGGCTTCAATTCCCCGTTGTGATATCATATACCCTAAGAATTTTCCGCCTCGAACTCCAAAAGAACATTTTAGGGGATTAAGCTTCATCTTGTATTTACGTAAGATGGAGAAGCATTGACTTAAATCGGTTAGGTGATCCGCGACTTTAATACTCTTGACAAGCATGTCATCAATGTACACTTCCATGTTCTTACCAATCAAGTCCGCGAACATCGTGTTCACCAGGCGTTGGTAAGTAGCTCCTGCATTCTTGAGACCGAACGGCATAACTCGATAGCAATAGATGCCTTGGTCAGTAATGAAACTAGCTCTCTCTTGATCTTCTGGGGCGAGCAATATTTGGTTGTATCCTTGATATGCATCAAGGAAGCTGAGAAGTTCGCACCCTGAGGTTGAGTCTATGAGCTGGTCGATCCTTGGTAAGGGAAATGGATCCTTCGGGCATGCCTTGTTGAGGTCGGTGAAGTCTACACATAGCCTCCACTTGCCTCCGGGTTTAGGTACTAATACCACATTGGATAACCACTCGGGATACTGAACCGATCTAATGTGGCCTGCATCTAAGAGTTTTGCCACTTCCTCTTTGATATGTTTGTTGCGCTCAGGACCGAAAGTCCTTTTACGTTGCTTGACCGGTTTCAATCTTTTGTCAACGTTTAGTCGATGCAATGCTACTTTCGGAGGAATTCCCGTTAGATCTTGAGCTTTCCAAGCAAATACGTCTCCATTTTGCCTAAGGAAGTTAACTAGCTGATTCTCCACTTCTTGATCTAGATCAGAGCCAATGCGGAGAAGCTTAGAATTATCTCCGGGTATGAGTTCTACTGATTTGAGCTCTTCAACCGCGGCTAGCTTGGCGGTGTCGTCGGGTACGCTGATTAGGATTTCTTTATCAGCTTCGATGACTGCGTTGACCCATTTTCGCTTATCTTGTCTCGGGGTGTCGTCTCCTTTCCCTAGAGGAATAGGTCTCTTAGATGGTTCACGTAGAGCTCTTGCATAACATTCTCGAGCGAGACGCCTATCTCCAAGTACCTCTCCCATCCCGTAAGGAGTGGGGAATTTCCACTTTTGGTGGTAAGATGAAGGCACAGACTTGAATGTATGGATCGCGGGCCTTCCCACGATGATGTTATAAGGGGATGGTTTGTCGACGATAAGGAATTTTATCATTTTCGTCACTCGACAAGGATCTTCTCCTAAGGAGATGGGTAACTCTACTTCCCCCATGGATAAAACACCTTCTCCCGTGAATCCTTTCAGTGGTGTAGTGATGGGACTGAACCGTGCGTTGTCTATGCCTAGCTGCTTGAATGTGTGGAGATACATAATGTCGGCTGAGCTCCCACCGTCCACTAATATCTTTTTAACTATGAAGTTGGCCACCGTTGCTGTTATCACTAACGCATCGACATGATCTTCATCTGGACGTTCAAGGTCCGAGGAGTTGAAGACTATGCCATGATCAGGTCTTCGTATTTGATAGACGGATGCGGATGGAGAAGCATGTTCTTGATTCATACGTGCTGATCGAGCGAGGGTGCGTCTCGCATTTTGTGAGTCGCCACCTGCCGGTCCTCCGGAGATAAAAGAGATGATTCCTCGGGTGGGTTGGTTATCATTGTTATCTGGGTCGCGCCGATGACCCCCCTCCTCTCGTCGTTGCTGTTGATCTCTATTGTTATCTCGGCGTGGAAGATCATCGCGGCGCTTATTTCGAGGCTTATCAATGTATTCGCTCAAGTGGCCTTGCTTGATCAACCTCTCAATCGCCAATTTGAGTTGCGCACATTCCTCGGTAGTATGCCCTTTATCTTTGTGGAATCGACAATAGCGATCCGATTTTTCTCGTTTTGCATTAGGTTGCATTGGGCGTGGAGGCTCTGCCAGACCTTTTTGTTCAATCACATGAAGTATTTCAGTGAGACGAGTATTGAGTGGAGTGAATCGATTATAAGTTGAAGATGATTGGCCTTGAGGCGGGGGTGGAGGACGTCGATCATCTCGTCTCCTAATATCCGGGCGTTCATCTTCTCTCTTCCTCTTGGGAGGAGCATTGGCAGAAGCTTCCTCTATGCGTATGTATTTTTCAGCTCGATTTAACAGCTCATCTAAGTTGCCAGGAGGTCTTCCTGCGATAGATTCTTTGAACCTACCCGACTTCAGGTTTTGCTGCATAATCCCTGAGAGCATATCTTGTCCTACACTGGGAACTTCATGAACAGCCTCCACAAAACGCCTGATGTAGTTGCGGAGTGTTTCATTGTCTCTCTGTACGATAGAGAAGAGATGTGCTGGAGTTTTAGCATATTGCTTATTGATGGCGAATTGGTTGGTGAAACGCAATGACAACTGAGCGAAAGTGTCAATTGATCCTGTGGGCAGAGCGTTGAACCAATTCATGGCTCTCTTGGATAGAGTGGTGCGAAACATCTTGCACATTGCTGCATCTGTCGGGCCATATAGGTCTGCCATAGCGTGGAACTTCTCTATGTATTCCTGCGGGTCGGTAGTTCCTTCGAACTGAGGTAAGCCCGAGACTTTCACTCCTTGAGGCAATACCTCGTTGAGGATGTTTAGGGTGAAAGGACTGCGCCTTGTTGGGACTGGCGCTCTTCCGTCAATTGGATTGTTCAATCTGGGGAACTGGTTTTGGCGAGATACTCTACTATTTATCTCGTCTTCCCCTTCATTAAAGAGATGAGCTCTTCGTAGAGACGCATCACCCCGTTGGAGCGAATGGTGGCGTTGTTGTCTAGGTTGTGGCTCCCTGTGATTGGTAGATAGCTGCATCCGGGATCTTGGATCTGAGGTGGATGAGGATACACTTATCCGATCGTCATTGTTCTGGGCCGGTTGCTGTACCCTGGGTGGCATTGCGGGTGGAGCATTAGCTGGGATCACGGGGGGAGCATTTGCTGCCATCGTGGCGATATACTGCGCCACCGCATCAGTGGCGGCGCGAGTAGAAACTTCTGTTATCATTCGTTGGAGTGCCTCCTCGGTTATTTGAACCGTTCGAGAAGCAGGTAGAGGTGGAGCCTGTAGTGGAGGATCGGCGAGTGGTGGATCCCGAGGGGGAATCACCTGAACCTCACGTGGTGGATCCGGAGCACGTGGAGGAGGTGGCAAGCCAGAGCCTCCTCGAACTGGGAGGTTGTTAGCTGTGTCATTCTCTCTCCGAGTGGACTCAGGAGGATCTTGCTGGCTACGTGATCTGGTCTGCATTCCCACAGACGGCGCCAAAATGATGACGTAAAAAATAAATCACCTAGTGTGTTGAAGCTGGGAGAGCAAAGTAGGTCACGTGCTCACGAGCTAGATAGTCCTGAGAACTTTAATTCACTCTAGGATCCTGCGAACAGAAAACACGTAATCTAAGCCGGGGGTTGATCCGGCGGAAACCCCTCCGACGCTCAAGTCAGACGTGAAGATAGTTGGTAATTGTGGAGAGAATTCGAATAGAAGAATTGAGGGAATAATAATAACGTACCTTCATTCAATGAATTTAAGTTCTATTTATACTTTATTGATTGGGTCGAGACAATTTATCGGGCCCAACCTTATTTGGGTTTGATTGGGCCTCTGTAGAAATAACTATTAAGTTGGGCCTGTGGTCCAGTAAATGTGGGCTATTGGGCTGAGCCAATAGGCATATCAATATCCCAATCATATTTTTTGGTCAATTTTCCCGATTGCCCGTCTCGATATTAGGTGCCGTCACACATCCCAGATCAGGAGCATATATACATGACTGTAACAGTCTTCATAAGACCATTTTTAATCGAACATTTGGAAATTTATATTTTTCGGTCCCCGCCTAAGACACCTATTATCAATGGAATTTTCACACAAGTCACGTTCGATACTTTGGCGTTCAATTATATATCATCACCGACCTCGTCGTCTGGAGAAGTATATTGGAGATATTAATATTAAATGATACATTTCACTAACAGTTTAGTTTTTGGTTGAGGTGGTCATTCAACATGGTATCAAAGTCAAACCAAATGAAAAGGTCTTGAGTTTGAATTTCACAGCCACCCTTTCAAATATTTCAAGTGCAAAACTTCAAATGCAATTCGCCTGCACTTGAGCCACTCATTCAAATATTTCATGTGCAACTATATCAGTGTCAGTGTGGACTTTAAATAATGCCTTCAAAATTGAGTTTTTCTTAGAACAGTAATTTAGTTTATCTCATGGCCCAAAATCAATTTGACCACATTAGAGATCTTGGAGAATAAATTTTAGAGTTTATTGTAAATACTACCCCTGTGTTATCTCGAATTGTCAAATACCCCCTGCAAAAAAAAAACTCACCAACACCCCCTTGTGTTAACATTTTTGAAGCACACTGCACCCTTTGTGATTTTAAACTTTGACTGAAAGTAAAGTGACAAAAATGCCCTTGTGAATTTTTCAGCAATTAATAAAACATATTATAATTTTATAGATATTATATAGTTTTTATTTTGTAAATACTAAAAATAAAAAATATATTTAAACAATAATGAAATATATATCATAACATTAAAAGTTTTAATATGTTTTCTATTTTTTTTTTTAGTTTTACATTATATATTAAATAAAGAAAAGAAAAGAAAAAACAAAAAAAAAATCGTTCTTCTTCCCCACCCTCCCACCAACTCTCAGCACTCATCCACCGTATCTCCACTGGGTTGCCGCTTCGGCTCCGCCGCAGCTCACCACCGTCTCACCTCTCCTTCACCAACACCACCATCTTCTCTATATCCGCCGCCCACCAATAAATTTTAATTTATTGAAACTTTAGTTTCCACCAACAAATTATTTTACACGAGCCTCAAACCTTCCCCCGATCTCTTATTTTGACGGCGGTGGTGGCGATAAGAAAGAGCACGAGAAGAGAAAAGAACCAAAAGACGCAATTTTGACCTAGCAAGTTCGGCCGTTGTCAAAGTCGTCGCCGTCGAGAGAAATTGCTTGGAGATTTTAGATAACCATTGCTGTAATTGAGGCTTAATTAACCTCGAGTTGTATGGATTCGGGTCTGCTATGGAAATTGTAGAAGATGGGGTGGTGTTGCTGAACTTTTCTTCTCTTGTTAGGGTTGGGGTTTGGGGGTGGGGAACGGGGGAAGAAAACAAGGATCTGTCTTTTTTTTTTTTTTTCTTAATTTTTCTTATAATAATTTTTCTGCATTATTATTTTATTTTGCAATTCTTGAAATTACAATTTGGTCCTATAAATTTAGGTTATTCATAGTTTAACCAGCCAGATTATTTTTTATTTTATAAAGGGGTATTTATGACATTTCACCCTAAAAATACCATTAAAAATCGCACAACCCGCGAGTGAGTGTCACGATTTGCGTCCAGGGGTGTCGATGCCTTGACTTTGTTAACACAAGGGGGTGTTGGTGAGAATTTTTTTTGCAGGGGGGTATTTGACAATTCGAGATAACACAGGGGTAGTATTTGCAATTAGCTCATAAATTTTATGTTGTTAATCTAATGAAATTTTGAGACAACCGTATACAATTCGAGAAATAAAATTTGCTCGTTTTGATAACATTTATTGTTTTGTTGTCTTTGTTTGGCTTAGGCGTTCGCTATAAGTTGGTATATCTGGTGTTAAGTTTCAAATAATTCGTCGGACAGGCAAGGTGAGGCGCGGACTAGACCGCTATCTTAAGACGAATTTCATGATCCCTTCTCAAAGAGGTGCAGCAAGGTCGCAATCGTTGCTATAGCTTCACTAGAAACCGCATTATCAAGTGAAGCAGAAGCTTGCACCCGACACTTTTAAGAACTCAGAGAATATTGGAAAATAATAAGTGGGATATTTTTTGTTGGTTGAAAAAGTGATCCAAGAAGAATGAAGCATGATTCCTTTCATGGTGGGTATGAATGAGTTGTTTCAAATTTCGAAATTAATTGAATTAAATCTGAGATTAAATTCTGAATAAAGTCATTCGAATTTGACTAAAAAAAACAACTGATTTTGTAACGTAAGAAACGCACAAGCTGATATAAATTATAATTATTTGTTGGTCAAAAAATCAGAGGTAATTAAAGGCTGAATTTATAACTGACAAATATAAATCTACATTGTTCATAGAAATTCAAACCAGTACTATGTTAAGAGGGGGCTGCAGAATTTTGAAATTCGTATCTCCAACTCCATCCTCATCGTTTGTTTTTTTTTCGATTTATAAAATATTCCAACACTATATTTTGCAGATGATAGCTTTCTGTAGAATTGCTAAAAAAACTCGAGAAATAAGTTCATGGAACATTTATATTATTTGAAGATAACAAATACGCGACAACATCATCGACAACAAACTATCTTAATTCCAATCATATCTTTTCTCTAATTCACCATTTTGTCCGTCTTGAAAATAGATGCCATCGCTCATCGCCGACCAAGAGCATAAAAAACTTTTGCAATCATTAATTGAATGTTTCGAATTAAAGACTTCAAAAGCTCTATCCTTCGAACCCCACCAAAGATGACAGAAAAATAGCGTCTTTGAAAAACCACTCGCACAAAATGCCCACTCGAACGTTTGTCCTGCATAAATTGTTCTCCTGCCGAGTTCATTGTCTCCAGATGCACAGTGCAAAAACAACGAACTATTACTAGGAGGGAGTCTATTGACTACTTGAACCCTGTACTTCCGAGCAAAAAAACAAGACGTCGTCGCCTGGAAAACATTGGCCGAAAGGAAGATAATTAGTAACAATTTTTTGATATTAATGTTGGAAATCATTTTTCTTGTAAAAAAAAATAATTTGTGGTTCATTTGGATGTTATTAGTGTCCTCTTTATAGGTAGTTTTCAAGCTAGAATTGGATTGTCCAAACATTACTATAATATGTTACCGGGTTATGAAAGCACATAAAAAATATTACATCAATTCAAAATAATTGGTAATAACAATTGCGAGATTAATGTCTATTTTGGATATTATTTATTTAAACCATTAACATTTATAAAAAGTCTAGCAATTAAAAGCCAGTCAAAGCCTATTTAGGATATATTCCAAGGCATATTCCGTGACTGTCTATTACTTGGCGGAATATATATCCATGAACTAGGGTTTTGTATGTAAATGCATGCTAGTAAAATCTACGTAGCACGGACACAGGAATGTGGGCACAGTGAAATGAGGAAACGGATACGGGAAAACCCAATTTTCAAAAAATTGGATACGGGAACATGGAAGAAACGTGTAAATATTAAAAGTATTGGTACATCCATATTTAAAAAAAAAATATTATAACGTTTGACTTATATACTTATCGTGAATTATATATTTGTATCTACAAATATTATATAATTTATAAGTTCCAAACCGAGTTATCATTCCACAAATTACATCTTGGGCATATAAATTTATTTTAGTATGAAATTAACATCTACAAAATGTTACTTGGGTGTGTGTATTTCGAAATGAGAACGAACTAAATGGACAAAAGTTTGATAGGAAAAATGTAGTCGAGGCAAGAACTAGCTAGGTTCTTTTTCCTTAAGACAAATTTGCCCCGTACAGTGCTCTCGGTTACGGCAATTGTCTCCCAAGATACAACGACTATTTCAGTTCCAACAAAGCAGCACAACAATTATTGGAACACGGCGAACGAAACGACGTTTAGGATTTTATAAGACACGAAGAAAGGACTTGGTAATGCAACAATATGCAATGATATGTTATGACGAGAAGTGAATTCAATTAATGCATTGAATTCCATGTGAATAATGAACTAATCAAATGGTGGATTTTGGAATCTATTTATAGATTTTCAAAGGTTATGACCACAAGTCACAACTCTTAGGAAAATAATTTCATGAAAAGGTATCACACCTTTTCCCTTTAACCACACACCTATTCAATTTAATAGGTGCTTAAACACCTCCATCTTTTTCAATGGTGGCATTTCACTTTATTATTTTCCACACTTAAATATTTTAAATGATCCATTAATTTATCATTCATC